ATAAAATTGAATTGAATTGAAGATAGCACTTTAAAAAAAAACTATAAATCTGAATTAGAGAGCAAAATGGCTGCAAATAATCTTGTTTAAGCTTGGCAAGGTCTAGCAGGAAAATGATAGCAGACCTCCAGAACCCAAAGAACAGCAGCCACGTCACTCTGGTTGGCTTTAATTCAGATGTGGAGTTTGCTAATTAATCCCTTAATCGTTTCTCTACTCACTTTGATATTTTTGATTGATAAATTCACTTACTTGGAGACAATCAGCACTTTGACAGACCAGAAGGATGTTGAAAAGGTCTTCCTCTTGGTGAGGGTAAATAAGAGTCAGGGACCTGACAAGATTTGTGAGAGAACTGAGTCCTATATTGCACAGCAGGTACCTGTGCTCTGGAAGGAGGATGTGGTAGTTGTCTGTTCCCAAAGCCAGTTACCCTAGAACTATGAATGACTTTAGACAGGTTGCTCTCACTCATCAATTGAAAACCTTTAAAAAACTGGTGAAATCAAAAATCTTAAGGAAAACCTAGCATGCACTTGATCCTGTGCAGTTTGCTTATCGGCCACACAGAGGTGTAGAGGATGCCACTTTGTTGAACTTCTCCAACATTTGGAAGGAAATTGGTTTCATGCTAGACTTCCATTTGTTGATTTTTCCTGTGTTTTTAACACAATCCAACCTCATATTATAGCCAGAAGACTTTCAGAACAATTTGTATTGTATGTATTGGTTTCTGGACTTTTTAACCAACAGGACACAAAGAGCGAGGATAAATGGACTCCACTGGCTCCCCACAGGGATGTGTGTTTTCATCCCTGTTATTTATCCACACAAATATGTGTCAAAGCATGTGGGAAAACAGAACCATTTTTAAGGTATGCAGATGACTCTGTTATTGTTAGTTTCCATTCAGGACGATGAGAGCAGTCACAGTCATCGATGACTTTGTGGTGTGAGGACTTCTATCTTCAACTAAAGACAAGATTATTGATTTTAGAAAACATGCCTACAAACAGAGTCACATTCAACCCCTAATGCTATATTACAATGGCACAGAGTTATTTTTTTTTGTACCTTATTTCATTCTAAGTGGTTATTGATCTTAATGGTTTTTGATTGATCTCTCTGTGTAGGTCCTAATTCTTAGAGCCTGGAGCACTTTAACTTTTATCTTTATCCTTTATCATGTTTGTTTATTGTCTGTGTTGTTTGTTGTTTTATATTTTGTAAGGAGGGATACCTTGTACCTTTTACTGCAAACCAAATCTACTTTTGAGTACAAATAAAGTAACCTAGGCATCACAAGCTTTAACAAACATCCAAAACATCAGTTGTAAAAGGACAAATTATTTATTAAACTGAACTGAGTGATTTACTCAATGTAAATGATTTATTCTCGCAGGTATTATTTGGTTTATTTCTTCTGGCAGGATGGAAGAATAAAACTGGACCTCACAGAGAGAATGAGACTAAAACTTAATTAAAAACTACATCAAAAACAGAAGAAAAAATAAAGCAGTCTGGTCTCACCCAGTCCATGTTAAAGTAGCCGGCCTTTGGTCTGCTTTCAGCAGAAGTAGGTCAACAACAACACAAACCTAGAGTGTCTAATTACATTTACAACACAAAGGACACACACATATGAACGCATTAATTAGCAGCTTCATTCATTAAAATACCAGTCTGCAGCACTGCCTAGTGGCCGCCATAGGAAACTACACACAGACAGTTTCTGTGTGGCTCCAAAATCCAACAGCAAAATCCAACAATTAATCATCAAAACATGTTTCCTGACAAAGTTTCAGTAAAGTTTTCTTCTTCTTTCAAATGATGAGACAGAACGTTAACTCTGTTCAAATTAACTGTTTAAATAAAGTTTTCAATAAAGAGTTACTTCACCTCAACATCACAAACTTTTCTTCAGCTTTCTCTCCTCGTTTCCACATCGAGTAATCGCTCCTGTCGTTATTTTTCTTCTGTTTCTGTCCGTTCAACTCGTCTCGTTTCTCCACCGAGTGACTGAGTCCATCGGCTGGTCGGCACACACACATTAACACACACACACACACACACACATTAACACACACACACACACATTAACATACACACACACACACATTGACACACACACACACACACACACAGTCTGACACAATGAAAGAGAGAGGGGACAACCCCCCCTGTGGGCTTACATCATGGTTGCTATATCAACCAGAGAGAGGCTCCCAACACACACACACACACACACACACACACACACATGCACACACACATTCCTGCATTGTTGTGAGGTCCATTCAGTCGAACCAGAGAATGCTGCTCTTCTGCTGTGGGCCTCACACAGTGTTTAAATAAAGTTTCTATAAACCAGTAAACTCATATCATCATTTGTTATAATTAAAGGTTTTATATCATGAACATTAATATAGCAGCGAACAACTATTAGCTATGTAAAGATATAGTGGAGTCATGGAGTCTGGTAGATTATGTTTAAGTTTGTGGTTAAACTAAGGGTCTATCTCTGTAGGGATCCTGTCCATAATGCTGTCAGACACTGACAATAATAATCAGTGGCAGTGAATACTTTTAGTGGATGCACTTTGACCTCAAGGTTTAACGTTAGTTTAAGTTGTGGTCATTGCAACACCTTTCACAAATAATTTTACATCTATGTCAAACGGGATCTTGTCTTAAAAACTGGAATTGAAACTAAATTGAGTCATGACAGACATCATTTTGCTACATTGAGGAACAATGTGGTAAATAAATTGGGAAAAGTTAAAGCAGATTTTCTTTCTTGACAGTAATAGAAAAAGCAATGATCTGAAACCAGTTAAAAACAATAACAGAACATCATGATAAGAAGGGAAGCTGCTTGAACTTAAAATAAA